CAATGTCTAATAGTAGAAGTACAGGATGACCAACCTGTTAAAACTCACGATTACCAAAGTTCAACAACTAACCTATGTATATTAAATGAATCAACAGTTCAACCAATAGTAATTGAAACAACAATCGCCAGCAATGATGGTCAACAGCACCCGCCGGCCCAACATATGGCCGAAGCACAGGTCGAGTCAATCATACAGTGTTTGATGGATAGACTGGAACCGGTGATAGATATTGAGACCCATCACAGGCCTAACCATTTGCACAAAGAGTTTCTATTAGATGGTCAGTGTTTGGGCGCCGGTCTATCGGGACTTGTAGTCCGGGCCACCAGACGGACAGACGGTTCCGAATATGCCGTTAAAATGCATTTTATTGTCGGTTCGTAACAATAATTATATTACAAACTGCTAAATTAATTATTAAAATTAATAAAAAGAAATTATCATAGCTGTAATCTCTCCATAAACAGTTTAACAAAAATAATTAACTAATTTTTATAACAATTTAATATATTAGTTACAGTTTTTAATCAACATGATTACTCTATTATATCTTTGGTGGAGGATGAATCACCCCACCCCAAGTTTTAAATAACTTATTGTTTAATAAATTTTTTGATTTTATGACAAATTATAATAGATTAATTTTTTATGCTATTAATGTTTAATTATTAATTAATTTAATTATGTTCGGTCGGGCAAAGCGAGTTGGTGGACCATGTATAATTTCAACATACATTTTAATTTTAAATAATATAAATAAGTATCACACAAACCTAGTACAGTTTGTTTTATTAGCATTTCCCATTGAATTAGCAGAAGATCCTTATGATTTACATTACACGTTAAATAACACTATCAACGTGCAGTATCGGGAAGAATGTGGCAGGGTGGGGTGGGGTAAGGTAGAGTAAGGTGGGTGGGGTGGGGTGGGGTGGAATGTGGTGGGTGGGGTGATTCATCCTCAACCTATATCTTTAGCCAAAACACATGCATAGAGAACACAGATTAGTAAAATAGTATATTACAATAAATTGTTTATTTGCTTATATAAGGTATAAATATCCAAAAAATATTCAATAAATGTTTTCATAAATAATTAATAATAATAAAAAGAATAAACCTTATTATTGTTTACTCAAATATTTACAGTTTTGATTCAACATTAATAATAAAACTTTAATTCAAATACAGGCAAAGAGGACACAGAGGACGGGCTGTTACGCGAGTATTACTGGCGGCGCCGGGAAGTGGACGTGTGGTCGGGTGTGTCGTACGGACAGTGCGTCCAGTATTACGACTCGTGGGTCGAGAGGGACGAAGAGTGTCGGCAACGGTTCACGCGTTACCTAAACACCCA